TAATAGCTCTCTGTATCGTACTGGACTTTTATCTTAGTACAGACAATATGCCTTTTTTTTTAAAGGCAAGAGTATATCTTAACAAATTGTAAATATCCATCTTTCAACCCCCTCCCCAAACCCCGATTTATAACGATTGCCATTCTGAAAATTCTTCCGCTTCTTCTTCTTCAGCATTCTGAGCTGTTGAGGTTCACTACTGCAGATATCACCCGCCTCCATTCATCTCTCTGGTTGGCCTTCTCTTTCCAGTTGATGACACCAAGTGTTTGCAGGTCTGTCTGGATATTATCTCTCCATCATCTTCTTGGTCTCCCTCAGGGTCTACGACCATTCATCTCCCTGGTGTATACAGTTTTCACTACTCAGTCATCTGACATTCTCTCAATATGCCCCAACCATTTCAGTCTATTAGCTCTCATGATGCCAGTGATCAGTGGTGGTTTAAACAGTTTATGAATGTCGTTGTTGCTTCTCACTCTCTATTCCTCGCTGTCAGCACCAATGTCCATTGGAAGATTCGCAACCTTACAACATCCACTGATGATACTTCTTAGAGGGAAAGTTCATATATCTACTATCTAGTATTGTTTGTGCACTGCTCGGGAACGACAGCTACATTTATCTTCCCAGGGAATCTGCAAGCGACAACAAAGATTCCGCCTTCCCATCGTGCTCATTGATGCGTGCGATCTGACAGAGGCGCCGAAAACTTGTCAAATGCCTTGAGGATTAGTCTCTAGATTTCTGTTCCCACACCTACGTACTGGATTCCCTCAATCCACTAACCATGCGCCCATCTTCCTTGGCACGGCACCTGCTAATGATGATTATAACTGGAGTAACAAAGGACCAATCGAAACAAGAGCATCACTATAATCAAGGCACACGCAACAAGCCAACGTGTCCTTAAGTAACCACCAACATTTTCTACGAGTACTGTAACATACTTCACCAAGCCAAGTATGATCCCATAGTGCGATCAGTCTCTTTACTGTGCACGAAGACACTACACCGAAGATGAGTGGTGATCGATGGCACACTCTCAAGTCTTACTGCCTTCCTAAATATTCTCATCGGCAGTCTCTCCAGACATGGACGAAACACCGCAGCGAACTATGTCCCAGGTGCCTGCTTTGGGCGACTCACACCCGATCGCGCAGATACACCTATGTGATGGCAGTGACAATTCTCTGACAGTTCTTTAAACGATCTCGCCACGAATGACTCAAGATAGATGCACCACTTGGTTAAAGATTCCAGACCTCCCGTCAGCAATCCCAGCCAGTCACTGAAGCATCGCTGACTAACAGCCCGTTAATCAGCCTCTGATACTTCTCCCCATCACAGCTCCACGTTGGTTAACACACACGAGGTCTCCGGCACCTTCTGCGCCCTTACAGATACCCTGGTCAGCCTCGTGCCCCATAGCCGCAACGATACCTACTCCACAAACACATGGGTCACACAACCATCCATTCTGGAATTTACACAGACAGAATTTTTAAGTCCAACCTGGATCCACCCCAGTTATGAAGAGAAAAAAAAATACATTGATAAAACACAGTATAAGCATACAGTGGATATAAATACGCAACACACGTCCACACGGTTGGACGAACTGTCAAGCTACTGACTGAAACTACCACAAGACCTTTCACACCTGCCGTCAGTTACAGGTGGATCTCACATTCTCGCTAACACTACGGGTCGCCCATGCGCTCTACTTGTGGACCCACACAGATCCCACATTCCCCACACAACTTAGGAAGTTTGCAGTCATCAGTGGTCTGGCTTCATGATATCGTTAACCCCACAATGATTTTCACACGTAACACTCATGGCATCAAGGTTCATAAATAATACAGCTGACAGTTGGGTGATCTCAAGACGAGTGTATCGCAAGCGGGACATCTTGCTTTTGATCGAGAAGTTTCCAGAGCGTTCCTATGAGAGCAACGTTCTGCAAAGGACATGATACAGACTGACGGTTGGTATATTTCTTTTTTTTTTTTCGAGAACTATGTCATATTGGTGCATTCCTTCACCATACCTATTCAATATATATGCAGAAAATATAATGAGAAATGTCAAAAATGACCAGACTTGTGACAGCTATGATCAGCTGAAAATTGGTGGCAGCCCTATTCCGGAGCTCCGCTACGCAGATGACACAGTCCTCCTTTCGAACAGAGTAAAGGGAATAGAAAATTTAATATTGTCTGTCCAAAAACACAGTGAAGATCAAAATCTGTTCTTGAATTTAAAGAAAACGAAAATAATGTCCACAGATAAAACTGGCTGTCACCCACAAATAACAATAAATTATGCAGAAATTGAAAATGTCACAAACTTTGAATATCTAGGCTCTATAATAAACAATAATGGAGACTGTTCGACAGAAATTAAAAGGAGGATGGCCATAGCAATGCAAAGATTGAACATCCTTAAAAGTCTATGTTTAAGCACCAGCAAGGAGATAAAAATTAGAATTTTGAGAGCATGCATCTTCCCTGTGGCTACATACGGATGTGAGTCGTGGACTATCTCTCAGTCCTTAAGAAAGAGAATTGGGGCTTTTGAGCTGAAATGCTATAGAAAGATTCTCAGAATATCTTAAACAAGGAAGATGAGAAATATTGACATCTTAAAAGATCTGAACATCAAGGAAGATTGGTTAATAAACACCATCCCTTCTCGAAAGCTGAAATATTTTGGTGATATCAAGCGCAACGACGGATTTGAAAAAATTATAGCAGAAGGCATGGTACCAGGAAGGAGGGGCAGGGGCCGACCGACACGAAGATGGGCACAGGATATAAGTGACTCCTTGAGTGTGAAAGTTCATGAGGCGGGAGAACTGGCAAGAGACCGAGTTTCTTTCAGGCAGACTGTGATGAGAGCGACGTTCTGCAAAGGACCTGCTACATGATGATGATGATGTCATACTGGACTTTGCCGGGTTCACTAGTGATCTGTATTCCCTGCAAAATTCACGGAGTCTGTCTAGTTCATAACTCCAAGCCAGTTTGTTCCTCGTCGGTATATAGGTAATAGTAGTAATTTTTTAAGCCTTAAAGTTATAATTGGGATGTATAGTCTTAATCCTTGATAATACCGAGGTGCCGGGTTCGATCCCAGCAGTGGAAGAATGTCTTGTATTCGTTTCGACAGTGGTACCGAAAGCTGACCGTTTAGGGAGCAATGGCAAACTAGGTTAGTTTCATATCCTTTACAGGGCGTTGCAGAACCAACCCCAGCAGCACCTGGCTGTTGTATGGTTTCTCTAGGCAGATTTGTGTCCAGTAGTTTGCCATTGCTCCCTGGACGGTTGGCCCCCTGATACCACTGTCGAAAACAATGCGAGGCGCGTGGCCTGCAGCTGGGATTTAACCCGGCACCCCGGTATTACGAAGCGTACTAATGGCAAACTACTGAACGTAAACTGTTTCTAGAAAAACCACAACAGCCAAAAGGTACTGGCGTTGGTTATGCAACGTCATAAAAATGATACGCAACTTGTCTATATACTCTCAATCGAATTCTCAGAGTATATATATATATATATATATATATATATATATATATATATATATATATATATCTTTAATTTGCATTTCTTTTAATTATTTATGTGACAAAAATTTAATTTCTGTTGTTTCACATTTAGCTTTGATTTGGGTTGTGACTATGATATAAATTGTACTATGAATAATTAGACTACATACTAACCTTGTGTCATTAACGTGGTGGTTATATTGTTTCCTTAGTGTGCAATCACTGATTGTTCTCCCCGATTGTATCTTTAGGGGAAGCTTCTTCAAAGATGCCATTGGCATTCATTACCCTTGTATATATGGACTTGAGTCCTAGTATTAAATTGCTTGACCCTTGATACAAAGCTCTCTGGGGCTGTTTGTGTACAGCAAGTTTGTCATCGTCAAAGGTAATTTACAGAGATTTAATTAGTCATTGAAAGGTTTTCTTTGGTTGTGATATTTCCTACACTTCAGCACCACCAAACATTGGCACACATTACAGGTCTTTTGCTGGATAGTAAAGCAACACCATCCATGTTTTAGTCTAAGCAGTTTACGATTTCAAGGTATTTTAAGTTCATTTGTTATCTGATTTAATCTTTTAGGAGCATTTAACAACTTATGTGAGTGTCTACCCTTTAGGCTTGGTCGCAGTTCAAGGATCATTCCTCTTATATACATTTTGTAATCAGTGATTTGATGTCTCCTGTATTCATACTTACATTATTAGTTTTTTCGGGGGATCTACCTTTTCCCCCTCCCTATCTGCAACTTCATAACCATGTATTCCCACACGAAGAGGTTTCCATACAACCAGCACTGAGCATCTTCGTGTGTTTAGATTTGTAGTAGCCACATAGATCTATTCTATTAATGCTAACTATAACAAAACATGTGACTAAAAAGCTCAACATGAGGAAAGGAAAAGAGGCACACAAACTTCACCGAACGTTTCGAATAAAGTCTTTATAACTCATGACTCAGCTGCGGGTTGCAACTTGTGTCTGAATATCGTCGTTTGAAGAGTGACTCCTTACATAGCTCATGTCGCAGGTCCTTTTTTAACAACTGTTTTATGCACGCCTTTCGCATGTTTTCGTCGGTATCTTTGTGGCACTGTTGAGCCTTTTCGTCAGGATCTTTGTGGCACTGTTGAGCCTTTTCGTCATGTTGCATTGATGTTGTGGTTGTACCAGAAGTGGTAGATGTTATGCTTCGACAGGACCGGGCTAGACATTCCTCTGTTTACTGGACTTTTGAGCACTACCTTGCCCTTGGCGCTGAGTACTGAAGCAAGAAGGACACAACCATTCAAGGCATTTCCTTCGGCTCTTTATCATTTTTGGTTCACGCTTCTGTTTAATATATGTGATTTCTAAGTCTGACACAGATCCTTCAGCAGCCGTGCTGCCAGGCAACGATGACTCCGATATCACTTTATCTGAACGTGGTGGATCAGACGAAAAAGATAGTCTCTCGCAGTGGGAGCCAACATCTGAATAGGTTTGATCTGGTTCAGGTTGCTGAAAATAGGCGGTGAAACGACGGTGCCTTGCAACGTTGACTCACAGCTCCCATAGCTTACAGTGAAACCAGGGAAGGCTGATCTCGCGTACTGAGTTTTCGCTAGCGTCTTTTTGCGGACGTCTCACTACCGACTTTTCGCCAATATCAGCAAAGGCCGTGAAAGGAAATAGTGATTCTGTAAGGATTCTCCGATAATCAATCAGAGCGTCTGATAATCCAAAGCATCTGTCATAATCGAAGACAAGCGAATCGGGCAATGTAGACAAACTGTTGAACTCGCTCAAATAATCTTTGATAGGGGTGTGTTTAAACTCGTGAAACTGACCTTTCAAAATACATCTCATCCATTTATAGAAGCGGCTGTTCTTTCTCTTAAAGTAACTGCGACATCTACTAAAGCAGCCATTATTAGTTTGTTTATATCTGAAGTCAACAATGACAATGTTGTCTCTAGTATGAAAGTTAATTTGAATGACGCAGAAATCGTTGATATGGGAGCGTCATTGTTTACACTTGTGAGCGCAGACTTTCAAGAAAGCCATATCTTGTCTGTACGCACGGGACCCAACCAAAAGGTGGCTGCAAATTTCACGTCGAGAATTGTTCATAACAATAATTAAATGTAAACTAGGTTTTTGATGATATTATTACTGCAAGAATATTGTAGAAGGGTTCCTGGACTGCATCAGGACTGTGTCTTTCTCATTGCCTTTATGTTGGTGTTAGTTCCAAATCAAGGTCGTCGGATCGTACCTGGCGCATTAAGTTGAGTCGAGTCAAGAATTGACCTCACAGCACTCGGGGTATTTCCATGCATGCTCCGTCCTCATCTTCAACAGCCAGCGCAGAGTTACAATACTGATGGTACCGGTCACAATCTGGTTATATGTCCGTCTTGCCTCTACTCTGAGTGTAGTGAGCCGGCCAGACCCTCTGGTTACACCCAGATGCCTCATTCTCTCCAGGCCATTATAATCTCCCTTTTCCTCTGATTCCGGTGCTTGTTTCCAAAGACCATGACCACATTTGCCCTATCGTGTAGCAATTCACCACCCACTGGTGCAGATCCAGCCAATCTGTCTGCCTGTTCATTAGTCACTACGCCGGCACGCCTGGAGAAAAGATCAAAAGTATGCTCACTACCCATGACCTTCCCAGTGAAGCTTGCGTCTGCTCGAAGCATCCCTGTATTTTCTTAGCATGCTTCCAGAGTCTGTTACAATTACGACATGTGTATGCATTTTGTTCTCTAGCCACCAGAGAGCTGCAGTTACCGCCTCCATATCCATTCTCGTCCTAGATGTTGTGATGTAGTATGCTAGGATGTCTTGTACTAAATATTGTCCATTAGCTTTGGCTACGAACCCCTAGGCATTTATATTTCCTATCACCACCGAGCCATCTGTACAGATCATCAGATCACCTGGGCGTGAATTGTCGTGAATCAACTGTTGGACTTGCACCTCCGTAGCACCCGCTGGCCACTTTCTGCACTCCCTGCCCAATGTGATGCACCGGGTGCATTATAATGGTCAACGAAGCAACAATTCTACGTCGGCTTAGATTTACGTTGTTATGAGTTATGATTTGGGTTATCTTCACGGCACTCCGGACACGTTAATAGGTATTCAGACTCCCACTTTAACACATACTGCAGCATCCCGTGGTTGATAGTCCCAGTCCTATATTGGTTGACAAGACTTATCGTGCGTCCGGTGTGCTTCTCGTCCCTGGCTGTGGTGATAATTTACTCCCAATTCTTGCACTCTTAGCAAAGATGTAGATGTGCTTCTCCCAAAATCCTCAGAACGTCCTAGCTCTCTAATGGCATTAACCATGTCTACATGATCCATGGGCAGACCCTCTGTAACTAAGGCAGAGCCGGCTAATCCGTCAGCTCTTTCATTGCCAACAACACTCGCATAGACAGTGGAGTTTTGCAGTGACTAGATCCACTGTCTGCGTATAAAGCCTGCCAGATCATGTTCATTGAATCACTCAGCACACACAGGTGAGAATAGCCTTAAGGTTAGCTGCTTTTCCTTTACAGGACGTTGCAGAACCAACCCCAACAGCCCCTGGCTGTTGGCAGCCCCTAGCTGTTGTGAGAGAATAGCCTGCTGCCCTTTTCCTAAAGACAGCTTTGTGCAGAGGCTGCTTTAAATTCGAGCTTATCTTCAGGTATGCACGAATCCTCCAGATCTTCATCCTATGGTGCATTGTCGGAAAGTCAATACGATATCTCATTGCTACTCAAGAGGTGTCTCTTGTGCACGCCAGAAAAATGCACATGGCTTCACTTTGTATCTGTCTTTTAATCTTTCAATATGTGCATCTCTGACTGTAAGTATGCCTAAAGTACATTCGACTGAAGAACGAACCAGTCCCTGGAACAGCAGCAGAAGCAGTCTAGGCCCTATGTAGGCGGTGACCATGACCCTCATTGCTGAGAAGCCTTTACGGGCTTTCGTCGTAACATGGTCGACGTGGTCTTTGAAGGACAGACTGTGATCAAACTTCACACCCAGATATGTCCTCGGGTGTGTTCTCGTCAAAGCTTCGCCGCTAAATTTCGACCACAGGTAGGTCTGCCTTAACCATAGGCGTGTTCAAGGAGAGCCACGTTACTGAGGCGTTTAAATGGTTTAGATGTGCACTGGAGTCCATATACCAGGATCGGATGCGATCAAGTTCACTTCTCTGTCCCAGCGAGACATGTCCATCTCTGTCTCAGCAAGACATGTCCATCTCTGTCTCAGCAAGACATGTCCATCTCTTTCCCAGTGAGACATTTCCATCTCTGTCCCAACAAGACATATCCATCTCTATCACAACGAGACATGTCCATCTGTGTCGCAACAATGGTGTCGCGGACAAGGATGGCCATTTCCAGGCGTCGCCTGTTGTAGAAACAGTTCAAACCGGTCACGTTCAGCCAATCATCGCCTAGCCGCGTCTCTTAAATGGCTACGATGTCGGCGTTGTGGAGGAGCTTCTCAATGACATGCCCACACTTCTTTACACTCGCACAGTTTCAGTATATAATTCGTGTACAGTTGAAGCCCAAACCAACGTTTTGAAACTGTTTTCTTCGTGCTCCGGCACTTTTACCCTTCCTTTGACGTCTCTCTTTCTCTCTCTCTCTCTCTCTCTCTCTCTCTCTCTCTCTCTCTCTCTCTCTTCTCTCTCTCTCTCTCTCTCTCTCTCTCTCTCTCTCTTGTGCACTTGTTTCTTTACCCTAACAGTTTCGCTACATACATGTTTGAAAGGCCATTGTAAAATAAAAAAATAAAAAAGAAACGAAGAAACGACCACTCGCTAACAAGAAACAATAATATTTCAGCTCAGATGAACGAAACTGCGTAGCACCTGCGAAATTCTTGAGGAAGTTGTTTTTCTGGCCTACATTCTGGAACAATTATCGATATGCAAGTGAAGAAATTCCCATCGCTCCGACGAAAAGAATCTGCGTGAGAAAAAAAGTACACATGGCGTAGCCATATTTTACCTGAAATCATAAGGGGCAGCCCAGATTTTTTGAAAGAGGCTAGTGCTTGAAGATAACATCAGAAAGAGACAGTCATTATTTTGTAGGTCATGTTATAAAAAGAGGGAAATCGAAACATGCTGGTAATACTGGAAAGATCTGTGGAAAGAGAGACAGAGGAAGACAGCGTGAGAAGATTCTTGACAGTCTGTTGTAGTGGCATAGAGGCTGTCAACACTAGAACTGACACACGCAGTTGCGGATCGAAAATTATGGAGAGGCTTGATCGTCCACACCAGTCAGCAAGGCACATGATTTGTATTTTTATAGGAGACGTAAGTAAAGCTACTACTGTACTTGTAAATAAACAAAATAAGTCGTACAAAAATTAGAATAGTGAAGGTAGCGTTAGTAAAATATAACAATTTAAGTAAGTAATGAGGAACTTAAAAAATCATGTGTAAAGCTCTTCAAGTTCTCTTAAATTTCAGTCATTACTACTGCTCTCTCTCCCTCTTCGAAAGGATTGAAAAAATCATCACTCTGGGCGATATTCTTTTTGTTGTAACTGACATTGGCATCCTGTCCTCCGGACCCTAAATTGGGAGCATGAATTGTAATAGGGTAGTAAATGGGCTACTGTAATATTACCGCATCATCCCTTCAAGTACCATTATACAACCTACTACCACGACCACCACCACTGTAGCTAAAAATAATATCACTGCTATCTTGTTTTACCCATGCGGAGTAGTAGACAGGGAGTCATGAGCCAGAAGATTTGGCGCCGCATGGCTAGTGCTGTCGCCCACGGACTGTGCAGGTTTAGGATGTATGACTTGCTCCCCGACAGAAGAATGCCATAACCTTACCGGTGCGTCTTCACATGAGAGCACAACGGTGTAACCGCCCAACTCCACAACTACTACTGCTGCTGCTACTTTGAGTGGGTAAAGCAGTTACTGTGACTTAAAGCTCGTTTCTCATGTAATCAGTTTGATCCACCCCCCACCCCACCCCCAAATTCACCGACTACTCTTTCCCTCATCGAAGTAGTTGAGAGGTAGGGAAAAAAAAACAATTGAAAAGCAATTAAAACAGGAAAAATACACCAGAATTAAGAAATGAAACGCTATGGTAAACAGCACAGCTTAAATTCAAAACGCAGATGAAATAATTAAATCTAAATGAAAATAAATGGAAAGCTATGAAAATTTCAGCGTAACCATGCAATCGAAAGTTTTAAATGAAATCATAATATGTGAAATGAGTCAAATTTAATTATCAACTGGTTTTACCCACAAACCTGTCCTTGTTTTTTTTTTTTTTAATATAGTATCATTAGGGGCCATATGGCTAGTGCTGTCGCCACGACAGTGCAGGTGAGGATTTTATTTTGGCCCTAAGTTAAAAAAAAAAAAGAGACTACATGCGGATTCGAACCCTGGTTCTCCCTCTCAAGAAGAGCCGAGTGTTCTAAACCATTCGACTAAGCAACCACTCGATCGGAATAACGAAAAGAGAACATAACCTATTTTAGATGTGTGTCCCAACTGCAGTGTCCCGATTATAACACAACTCAAAACAGCAGGCGATTGTTTTCTCATAGACAGTATATTCCAAATATATTAATGAAACGGCACAATAAAAGAATCGCACGTGTCTAACACGGTTAATGTTGCAGTCAATGTCTGCGCAGACGTCGAGATAGTCCCTGACGCCCCCCCCCTCTTTTTCCCACCCAACCAATCCATCGGCTACTTTTCAACTCATCGAAGGCACTTTTGAAAAAAAAAAAAACAGAAAATATAAATCGTGTCTAATATAGTTATTGTGGCAATCACTCTGCCTGCACATGATATAGATCATAGTCTTGTTTGCTGTACACGACCTACTCTGTGTATTAGAGGAGGTTGTTAGGCCTGCACGCCGCATGCGCATTTACTAACGTGGCTATAATTAGAAATAACTAAATATATAAAATATTAGTTTCGAATATTATGGCTTAAATTGTGGTCACCTATGCTCTAAACAGTGACAGGTTTGATTTCAAAACCATGATGGGTTTAACATTCCGGTATCAAAACAAACATATCCTGAAAATTTCAGCTAAATCGGTTCAGTAGTTTCCGAGCCTATAGGGGGCAAACAAACACACAAACATTGATTTATATATATATAGAAGATATATATATACAATAAATGATATAATATTTTTATTAAATGTTTTATAACGAAGATTGAAATTTGATTAAAACTGTTTTTCACACCTGTCTTACTACTACTACTACTGCTACTACTACTGCTGCTGCTACTGCTGCTGCTGCTACTGCTACTACTACTTCTACTGTTGCTGCTGTTGCTGCTGCTGCTACTTTTACTATTGTGATTGCGTACTGTGTATGAATAATTAAGATTACTAAAATATAGAACATAAATTCAAGGAGGCTGGCACTGGCCGTAAACTTTACAGCTGTTTTAATAGCTGCAATTATTTTTAACAATATGTAAATCGAGGAGACCTGTACACTGACTGAGGTGTGTGAGCATCTGTGTTAGTATGTTTATGTGTGTGAGAGTGTGTGTGTGAGTGTGTAGGGTATGCGCGCGTGTGCTAATTTTTCTGTTATTTTATTAATATATAATATTTAACTGCCTCAAGAGTTACCCCTCTGTTTATTTATGTCAATTTTGTAACACTAAAGTATGAAAATGTTGTGTTGCTGATTTTAAAAACATCCAAACTTTTATAAACACTTCTTCGTTCAGATCTGGGTCCTGCATAAATTCTCAAATTCTCAAAAAGTTTGCAGACAACAGGGAACATAACAGTCTGCATTTTACAGACAAACGGGTACACACTAGTCTACAATCTAGAACTGTCATTCTTTGATGGGGCGTCTCCAACGTCATCCCTAACGTTATTGGTATTGGCGGCCTTTTCAATCACAAAAATGTTGATTTTGGGAGCCTCAGTCTCCAACTGGTTGATAGTTGTTTTCCCAGCAACTGTGATGGATTCTGCCAAAGCTTTCCCGGCTGTCTCCTGCAGGAAGCAGACTGCACAAGCGGCGAGAAGCAGCGATCCTCCAACCATAGCCAATGCAAGAGTCGGTCCCTCTTCCTAATTGGTAGGAATACAACAAATGGTTTCAAGCATGTACAGAACAATGATCAGCTTCAAAATATCGGTGTTTCAAACACAAAATATGTTTATTAGATACTATATGCCAGCATAATAATTACAAGATCACGTATCATAAAAACGTTTCTCTTAACAACGTTATGCTGCTAGTAAACAGCATCCTGTCCTAAAATCATTGGACTTTTGGCAATGTTAAACATCATAGTGGCCTGGAGAAAATAGTGATACATGGTTGCTCTCGTAAAACAAGGCAGAGGCAGGCTTCTGCGAATGTGAAAACAAAGTAGTGAAGATACATTGGCTATGAATGCACATAAAGCCGGGAGATATTGACAGAAAAACATATTCTCAATCATGCCGTGACGCGAGCGACGTTCAGTAAAGGGCATGTTTAATGGTGATGATGCTATCAGTGTTTAATGTGAGAAACCACTGAATATAGTGTTAGGAACAGTCTCAGAACATGTGGACCAGCTTGCACAATTAATTAGAAAGACAATCCTAACATCCCATTACCGCCCCTCTCCTCCATCCCTCTACCCCTAAATCTTCACTGAGGTAACTGGAGAATGGAGGTAACCGAGTGCTCCAAAATTACCTTAGAACTGTAAACTCGTGGATTAGAGGGCGTTCCCTGACGAAATTCTACCCTTTGTAAGGGACAGGTTTAGACTATCTTTTCAATTTGCTAGTACTAGGGACAACTATATTTCAAGCTGTTTGGATTACATCTAATTTAAGGAACATGGTATCTGTCGATGTTTATGTTTAGTAATTTCAAAGAGATTATGGACCAGGTGATCTGGCTGACTCTCAACACTCAAGGGAAGAGTGAGACGGATATACAATCAGACGGTTACTGGTGCTAGCGGAATTGGAACTCGTCGCTTGCTGCTGAAGATGGGGATGGAGCACTTATGGGAGTGTCCCGAGTGATGAGATGTCGATTCCTAATTCATCAACAGAGATTATGAAGGTGTGAACCGGCATCTTTAAAAATTAATAAAGGGATATCAATTGTTCTAAATTGTTTCTTTCACGCCTGTTTCTTATTCAAGATACACCTCGTTCTCTTTATAGTATAACGTACGTTTATCAAATCTTCTTCAGAAATGTCAAAAAAATTAAAGGGGAAGGAAATCTGACAGCAAGTTTGGCGCCTGCCAAATAAAAACTAGTTTTTTTTGTCAATGGAAAATTGTTGAACCTACCACTGGGGCGATACCTTGTTGGTCAGTTGATTGCCGTACTGCCCCTCGCAGATTGGCGACCAGCTTGGAAAAAGACATAGACTCCACTTGATGGTAAGGGTTCCAAATGTGTACATCAACATATATCCAGTTTCGTCCTTTTTAGGACGAATTTTTTTGTTATTTGAAGCCCCACCTTGGCTTTTGCCAGGGGCTGCAATATAGGCAGGCCATAAATATGGCCAATTGTCTGAACGAGGTTTCTGGGACCTCTCCACGGCGATCCTCATCCACATGGTGGCACCTTGTGTCATCGGGTGTTTATCGCTTGTGTGATGTCCTGGTGGGGTAGAAAGTCAGTCAGTAAGGGTTCCAACATTCTTACAGAAGAAAGGATCCTTATCACATTGTGACACTGTTGACTAACATGTTTTTGATGTCATTAAAACTGAACTACGTAACGTAAGATATTTTAAAAATAATTTACCTAACCTTAGTTACATGTTTGGATACTATACAAACTGAACTAGCTATTGTAATATGTGTTCTCACATTATTTAAAATCAACTACTATCAGGTGTTTTTGACATTATACTTACTAAACCATCCAAAGTAACACCTTTTTTACAGGATGGTAATTGAACTAACTACATTGTCATCGTTCTGATCAAATATTCACTGGACTAACAACACAAGCAATGCACGTACGAAGTTCAGTAGAAAGGGAGCTAATATAGCTCCTACTCTTGAATACACATTAGCAGCGCCATATCCTAGGCCCCTGTGAACAAAGCAAAATTCTAAAATTAAAGTGGAAGTAAAGCATGAATGTTTTGTTACAATAGCTTCTTTTGATTATTATTTTGAAGAAACAAAAATGTGGGGCAGACAATACATGAATGCCCGGCATAATTCGCTCTACCTCGTCAGGTGCATTTCTACAGCTGCATCAACATTTAGTGAAGCACAAGAATGAGTGATTTCCACCGAAGTATACAAATCGCATTGTCTTCTCTAGTTATAGCGTACACCTCAATAACGGAAGTCCGAGATAAGTAAGTGCTTGCTTCCGAAGGCTTGCCAGTTACCACTTTATTTTTCCCCAACGAACGGTTGTTCATTTTAATGGTCACAGCTTCATCCAATTTCAGTAATTCCTTTTCGGCGTCTGCTAAATAACACATAAAATGCCGTATCTATAATTTACGTAATCACTGGCTATCGTAAAATCCTTTTGTGAGACTATTGCAACTAAAGAAGATGATGTGATTTGTGTATTTCCATAGAAATGCTTTATGTATGTGTGTGTGTGTGGGGGGGGGGGGGTGGATGGGCGGCACGCGGAGTGGTGGCCTTTGCTACATAGTTCACCGAAAAACGTAACAATTGTAATACTATTTCTGGCGCTGGTTTTCTCTCAGACATCACTCTACAGTAACCATGTGGAAACACCGTTTGCGAAATTCAGCGAAATCAACCATTACAATAAATGTGTAATGTATTATAATTTTGCTTGGCTTTTTTTGTTGAGATCAAAAAGCTGCATCGATCACTGCAAACAAACCAAACACTATCAAACTCACAATTCGAGGCGATTCCTGTTGGCTTAGCGTCATCTAGTCAAAAGGATGCCAGTTCGAGTTTTACGAGACTGGCTCAGCATACACACACGCATATTAAATTGTTAAAAGAAATTATAGCTGTGTGTTTTTTTTTTTTTTTTCTGTTTAATATTCGCTTCTTGTTTCTTACATGTCTCAGAGTTTCTACCGCCTTCTTAGTTGCGTATCCTTTAAAGGACGTTGCAGAACCAACACCGGCTTCTTATGGCGATTGTGGCTTTTCTGGGCATATTTTACGTTCAGTAGTTTGCTATTACATTTAGTACACCTCATAACAATGCTCTATCTAGACCAACAAACAGCGTTTAGAATAGACCGCGAGACATCAGACTGCTTTGACATCAAGCAAGGAGTCCATTAGGGATGTTTGATGTGACCCTATTTGTTTAATCTGTACACCAAAATATAATGAGAAATGTCAGAGTTAAAATAACCAGAGAGCAATATGATGCCCTAAACATTGGTGCTCATGAAATACCAGAGATCAGATTTATCGATGATACATTATTGCTATCCACATCACAGACTGGTTTAGATAACTACTAACCTGAACCCAAAGAGATAGTGAAAATCACACTGATATCTTATATAGGAAAAACAGAGATAATGCTTACAGATAAAACTACAATGGAGAAAGAAATATATGTTAACAAGGAAAAATTGGAGGCTGTGAAAAATTTTCATATCTTTGATTACCTACAATGGTGACACAATGAAATAAATTAAATGACGACTATCAATTGCTCTTCAAAGACTAAAACAACTGAATAAATTTTGGAGTGGGACAGACAAAAATTTAAAAAATTAGATTTCTAAGAGTGTGCATCTTTCCCCTTGCAACCTACGCCTAGGAGACATGGACAGTTACTAAAGAAGCTGAACAGCTCATAAAAGCCTTTAAATACAAATGTCATAGACGGGTTCTCGGAATATCATGGGTAAAGAAAAGAACAAATGCATCCATACTTCAAGAACTGAATACTGAAGAAAGTTGGCTATTGAAGACGATAAAACACAGACATTTTAAATATTTTGGTCACTTGATACGTCAGGAAAGTTTAGAGAGAACAATAATGGAGAGGTATATGCCTGGAAAGAGAGGAAGAGGAAGGCCAAAAAGAAGATGGGTGCAGGATGATCTGCAGATGAGTGTATCGGACGGGGGACATCTTGCTTGTGATCGAGAATTTTCCGGAAAGTTGTTATGGGAGCAAGGTTGTGCAAAGGACATGCTACTGACTGACTGAGTATGCCACTGCACTGAAAGGTCAGCTCTTGGTACCACTGTCGAAACCAACGTAAGACAAATAGTCCGCAGCTGGGATCGAACCCGGCACTCCGGCATTACAAAGTGCGATCGCAACGCCTAAGCCACAGACGCGGAACTACTGCATAGACATCTCATGAATATTTCTTGGACTGAAATCAGCTAAGTGTTTTTGTGTATTTTTGTTTGTAATTGTATAATTGTCTTTTTCGTTTATGAAAGTTTTTTAATCGCAACATTCATTTATTGTTCATGATTGTTACAGTGGCAGACTGACTATTTCTACTTCTCGTCTGGCTTGAAATCTGTTCATGGTGTCCCCATTTTGCACGGTTGAATTTGGTGTTTGGGATATATTCCTGCTAGTTCGTTTTGTAGTCCCGGAAACGGTTACACGAATGTAAAGTGTTTCCTTACATATAGGATGTTCTCATCATTCGGGAAACAAGAATCACACCTCTCGATTGCGTACACTCCCTTGTGAGGCCAGAGGAAATGTTTAATTGGAACTGATATAACAAGCTCTCAAAGACTAAGGATTCAGTTCCAAATGAGGTATGGCACTGCACAGACGGCCAAATTAAAAAAAAATTGCTATACTATAAGATTTTATTACTTATCTTGAATATAATAACACAATGCACTAAAAGATATAAAATAATTTATAACATAGTATATTGGGCATAATATATTCACAATGACCTGTTTTTATCAAATTTATATTGTATGTATACTTAATTATATAATTTAATGGATACACGAGTTTACAGATAGTCATCTACAATTGTATACGACAACTAACAGAAGCGTAGGGCGCCCACACATGTGTATGCATAACAACTAAATCATATTTATAATTACAGTGGACCTGTGACAAGTTGATTACAGTAATCAAAATTTATGTTGTCTAGTGTGTTCTTCTTTCTACTTTTTTCTATGAGTGCCGATCAATACACTTTCTGTTACCTAATTAATTCATAATATTAAACGGCATCTAAGGTTCCCCTCTGTTTATTTATAGAAATGACATATTTTGTTTAAGCTTTTAAAAGCTGCTGATGCCTTGACAATGCGTATCATGATTTCTGTCTTTGTATTTCCGACATCTATATTGCAATTCTTTTATCTCTCAAAAATGTTCTCAGTATTCTGTCTCTGTAGCTTCCACATAATTTTGCATCAACTGGCTGACCGTCCGTGATTTGCTTCCTTACTGCCTGTACTACGAGGTTTTTCAGTGTGTAGTGAACCCATTTTCTCCTAGATAAATTATGTCCCAGACATGATGTCAGCTAACAAATATGAATGGCATATTTGAGTGTAACTAGGACAGCGAGTGAATCACAGAGAAAACGCTGGCCAAATGAAACTCATGAGAATCACGGAGAAAATGTTGGCCGAATGGAACCCATCTGAATCTGAGAACACGGAGAAGTCGTAATTGTAATGGGGAGTTAGAAGGTTATATAATGCCTCAGAAAGAGCATGCGGTGAGTCTCGTTTAGGCCTAGGAAATGAAGACATGAAGTATGAAGGAGCGTCTGTCGAATCCAGAAAGTGTTCGAGTCTGGTAAGATGGCAGAGTTTTCCCAACGCCTACCTGGCCAAACAGCAACGGCTGACGGAAGTCCCGCAGCCAGCTGATTGTGTGTTTTTGTTCGGATGGAAAATAGTAGCTATCTTTCAATTGCTGTGGCGATGGAACGTTTATTGTAAGGCATAGTTGATACTTTCAGCGAGTTAGGATAGAAATGAGTGACTGTGTTGTACCTTAACATGTACTGGCTGAAGTAACAGCGAGTGAACAAATAAAGAGCGACATAATTTTGTATCGTTCGCCATTGTCCATGTTATTCTCGTGTGTTGTCAGTCGGCGCATGAATGGTAACGTGCAGTGACTAGAGCCAGAAAGACGATGAACAGAGTCATTGCACAGTAAAACAATTACTTTGTTTTTCTTTTTAAGAGATATATATATATATATATATCCTGTGCGGTAAAATGCACGTACAGTGAAAATTTGTGGTTTTGGATGACATAAATGTTCTGCCATTGGCTGGCTATATCATGTTGGTGATGAAAATGTTGATGGTGATAACGACGATGATGATGATGATGACGACGATGATGAGATATGACGAAACAGAGAAGAAAAGGTATAGCGCTGTAGGTAGTAAACAGTAGAACAATTCTTGCCTGATAACTGTAGGGTAGGTTTCATTTGTGACGACTGCGATTGATCCCCAGGCAGCTGCTAAAAACCCTCGACTGAGCAGATTTAAAACAATCCCTGTTGTAACCTTTTTGTCCCAGCCGGATACTGTTTAAAATCAGTGTACTAATGAAATATCTCATGCATCAAATGTATGGAATCTGAAGCTGTTATAGAAAAATAACGTATATATGCAAGATACTCATGAATCTTTAAAGGTTTAGTTTAGAATTGAGATGATCGACTTTATTGCACTGAGTTTTATGGCATACGGGTCATTCTCTCTCGACAGCACGGACTGATGCCTGCCGAGAGTGTTCCGAACTCCGCAGCGCTTTCGATGACTTCTTGAGGTCTCCGTATAAATGCGTTTCTAAACGAAAGATATTGTCCATAAATCTAACAAGTCATCATCATCATCAGGTGCCTTGCCGATTGGCGTAGGCGATCATGCCTCTTCACAATGTGCGATCACCTGCGGCATGTATCAGTTCATGTGCTGACACACCTCCATGCCATGCAACAAGACTGTCAAGAATCTTCTCTCGTTGTCTTCCTCCATCCCTCCTTCTACAGATTTGTCCAGTGGTCACAACATATTCTATTTTCCCCCTTCTCATAACATGGCCGAAAAATGATGACTGTCTGCTTCTGATGTCTGTGATTTGTTATCTTCGGGCTCCTGCCTCTTTCAAAACCTCTTGGTTGCTCTTTTTTTTCTGTCCAAGGTACTTTAAGCATTCTTCTGTAAAACCATATCTCTGAGGCCTCAAGAACTTGTTTGGCCTGCCTACCGAATGTCCAGGACTCACAGCCATATGTTAAAACTGGATGTATGTAGCAAGCAAGAATTTTTTTTTTCGAACCCTCAATGACAAAGATATATTGCATAAGATGTTCTTCCATCTAATGTTATCCATGTGCCCAGATACTAAAATTTCTGTACTTGTCCCATGATAACACCATTGACTTCTATTACACATTTAGGAATTTTTTTTTCTTTGATACCACTATAACTTATGTCTTCCTATTATTCAAAATGAGGTCCATTCTTCCACTTTCTAACACCACAATGTCTATTATTTCCTGTAGTTATTTCTGATTTCTTTCTATCTAGACTGTGTCATAAGCATAACACAAATTGTTTATATTGTGCCCACCAACCACAATTTCGGGCACATCAATTAAAGATATATTTATATCTGTATATTTAAATAATTTGTCCGTGTCCGGGCATTAGTGATTGGTACAGGGAACAACAGATGTACGAGTACGATAAGCATCCTCGGTCCCTGTGCAGTCACTCATCACGGGTACAGTTGTCAATACAATCACTCGAACGATAACCTCTCTTTAAAGGTATAAGGTAAAGTCAGGAGATGTGAACCAGCGTCATTGCAAACGGTTATAAACCATAAGTGCTCTGCCACCAGTACGGACAGCTGATAACAGACTGTCCGCCTGCGTCGCCGTCCGCACGCAACTCCGTAGCTACAGCGACGTTCTTCCATTTACCCCTGAGTATTAACTTTGGTACCCATTACTTTATCCTTGTACAACTAGCAGAAGTATTCATGGATACTGTCGTGTGCAATCCGAAGATTCACACTATTCACGACCGCTAACGAACATGAGATATGACGAGAGACACGACGTCACTTGCCGTCAGAAGAATTGGACAGAAGACAGTTACAAGAAAGGTAGGACGAGCAGAGATTTGTATTGATATGTCCTGATGCCGCAGTTCGCGGGAGAGCAAAGTCTCTGAGCTCCATGTTGGAGGAAAAGAATTATCCTAACGTCATTAGGTACAGCGATTGTAACATATTCACTTCATGGACACACATTATATATGTGGAGAGTTGCTGAATAAACGTACTGATATTGCTTGTCAACGACGTGTTCTCAAATGTAGAAGTTCCTACAGTTGACCTTGTTGGTGGCATTTTCTGCCTGTCGTTGGGTTTGGTATTTGTTACCCCTAGAGTAATAAGTTACTTGGACTTAGTACGGCATGGACCTGGGACGACATTTCAACGGAATCATCTATGTATAGTATGAGATAATAATAATAATAATAATAATAATAATAATAATAATAATAATAATAATAATCGCCGTACAGATACTGTGGCAGACAAACAGCACACCTGCAGTAATGGAGATCAGTTGTGAATGCTTTCTTCCTCTTGTGGGTTCTGGTGTCCCATTGTATGGAAAAAAAAAAACAGACCACCTTCCCCCCCCCCCCCCCCCAAGAACTCCCCCTAACATGAATGTCGTGGGAGTCGAAAGTCGACTTATTGGGAGCTTCCTTCGAAGAAGAANGATATATTTAACTATTTTTTAAAAAATTTTGCCCGGTCCGGGCATTAGTATTGGTACAGGGAACAACGATGTCCGATACGATAAGCATCCCCGGCCCCTGTGCAGTCATCATCACGGTACAGTTTCAATACAATCACTCGAACGAAACCTTTTTTAAAGGGGAAAAGGAAAGTCGGGAGAGGAACCAGCGTCTTTGCAAACGGTTAAAACCCATAAGTGCTCTGCCCAGTACGGACAGGAAAACAGACGTCCGCCGCGTCGCCGTCCGCACGCAACGTCCGTATCTACATGCGGTGACGTTCTTCAATTTAAACCCTGAGTAATTAACTTTGGTACCCAATTACTTTTATCCTTGTACAACTAGCAGAAGTAGTCCATGGATACTGTCGTGTGGGCGCAATAATCGAAGATTCACACTATTCACGACACGCTAACGGAACATGAGATTATGACGCGAGGACACGACGTCACATTGCCGTAAGAAGAAGTTGGACAGAAGACAGTTACAAGAAATGTAGGACGAGCCAGAGATTTTGTATTGATATGTCCTGATGCCGCAGTTTAGCTGGGAGAGCAAAGTCTCTGAGCATCCATGTTGGAGCAGAAAATAATTATCCTAACGTCCCTTAGGTACAGCGATTGTAACATTTCACTTCATTGACACACCTTATATATGTGGAGAGTTGCTGAATAAACGTACTGATATTTGCTTGTAACGACGTGTTTCTCAAATGTAGAAGTTTCGCTACAGTTGGACCTTGATTGGTGGCATTTTTCTGCCTGTCGTTGGGTTTGGTATTTGTACCCTAGAGTAATAAGTTACTTGGACTTAGTACTGGCATGGACCTGAGGACGGAACATTTCAACGGAATCATCTATGTATAGTATGAGATATAGTAATAATAATAATAATAATAATAAATATAATAATACTAAATAATAAATCGCCGTAGTCAGATACTGTGGCGAGACAAGACAGCACACCTGTGCACGTAGATGGAGATCAGTTGTGAATGCTTTCTTCCTCTTGTGGGTCTCTGTTGTCCCATTGTATGGAAAAAAAAAAACAGACCACCTTCCCCCCCCCCCCCCCCTCCCCCGCCCTACATGAATGTCGATGGGAGTCGACTTATTGGAAGCTTCCTTCGAAGAAAAAGACGAAGAAGAAGTCGAAGAAAAAGAAGAAGTAGAAGAAAAAGAAGAAGAAGAAGAAGAAGAAGAAGAAGAAGAAGAAGAAGAAGAAGAAGAAGAAGAAGAAGAAGAAGAAGAAGAAGAAGAAGAAGAAGAAGAAGAAGAAGATGAAGAAGAAGAAGAAGAAGAAGAAGAAGAAGAAGAAGAAGAAGAAGAAGAAGAAGAAGAAGAAGAAGAAGAAGAAGAAGAAGAAGAAGAAGAAAAAGAAGAAAAAAGAAGAAACAGAAAAGGAAGAACTCTTTATGTGTCGGTGTGCACACAGAAACATAAAGAGGATACCGAAATGTGCCAGTGCATCAAAAGAACTAAATAAAGCTGCATATACAGTAAATGATAAAGATGTACACTTATGTTAGCAAAACTTACAAGTTAAGTTGAGAGTCATTGATCCAAACCCACACACACTGGCAAGAAGCAGAAACATGATTGTTGTCTTTTTACAGCCAATTCTGTGGCAGAAATGTGCAAATCAGCTCAGTCCACTGTGGCTTACCCTAACATGTTATAGATGCACATTGGTGTCGTGTTACTATCGAGTGAATGCAAGAAATATGTGAATTATTTTATTCCATTATGATTCCTGATACTTTGTTTACAAATGTACATTACCTGTATTTCGTTTAAAACAAAACAATAATTTCAAACAAAATGTAGTAAATACTTCTAACTCAGTGTTTCTCACCCACCTAAGCATTTCTAAAATTATGATGACCCCCTTTGTAACTTAAACTTTAGACGAATGCACTTTCGAACTGCTCTCTTCACAATTAAACTGCTCCTACTGTGCGGCGTGGGTCCGACTTTGTGAAACACAGATCAAACTATATATGCCATGGCCTGTGTGGTTGGGGACCCCAAAATGAAGCCATGAATAGGAACACAGTAAGCTACCGTAAAAATTAGCAGGTTTCAAAAGCATTTAGGAAGCCACGGTAGCGCAGTGGTCAGACGCCTGCCTGCCGATCTGCATCGAAATGGATATTTTATAATTGACGCGGAGATTACCTTTATTTACTTATTTGTCTGAAATGATAATGAAGACAGTAAAAGAGACCTTCCACGCCATTGTATTATCGAGCGCATGGTACTGTTGTGTTATCGAGCATATGGTACTATTGTATTATCGAGCACATGATACTGTTGTATTTTAGAGCATATGGTACTGGTACTGTTGTATTATCGAGCTATGGTACTGTTGTATTATCGAGCATATGGTACTATTGTATTATCGAGCACATGGTACTGGACCCATTTTTAATAGACTAACTAGCACTCAACAGGTAGTGTAGTCAGGATAACGCTTGAAACCTTTACTTCCCAATAACTTTTCAGCTAAGCTCTAATGTGTTTTTAATTCCAGTAATTACATTCTTTAAAATACCCATGTAGGTTTTTTTTTAAATATACTTTGACTTTGGTTCCCAGTTCAACCTAGATTACAACATGTACTAGAAAATGTCTTGGGAAGTAAATAAGGCCCCACTTGACGGTAAAATGATTCCTTACTATTTGACCCCCCCCCCCCCCCCCAATGACATACATTTTCCTAGAAGCACTTACTTGCTGGTAGAGTATGTTACTGCAAAAACACCCGGAATGCTAAGGACCTGCATAAGGAAAATATTCAAGTACAAGTTGGATCCAAACGATGAGACGCCAAACGCGAAACCGTAGCTACACATGGACAAGGCGAGCCTGAGAAATAACAATGTTACATGTCATCATTGTTCACCTCAGTTGGAAGAATGGATAGAGAAATCAACATACAATGTGCAAAGACAAATCAGGTCATGGGACAATTAAAATCGCTTCTGACGCATAGAAAGATACCTCTGTCAAGTAAAGTAAATCTCACAAGAACAACTTTTTGACCGAAATTGTGCTACCAGTGCTAAACATGAACCCTTACTACAATTAATGACAAAAGAGATAGAATCAGGAATGAGGAAATTAGAAGAAGATTAGGAATGAAACCAGTCACACAACTCATTAAAGAACAAAAATGAAATGGTTTAGTCACCTGACGAGAATGCACTAGTACCAATTGCCACAGAGAGCCACGCTGAAGAAATGTAATGAAAACAGAGCAAAGGAAAGACCACACAAGATATGGAACGACATCACCAGAAGAAAACCTAACAGAAATGAACACCAACTTGTACAATGCATCGGCAAAATCTTACCACTCTCTCAACACCTCGCTGAGGTAAATAGTGGAAGATAAAAACAAGTCAGTTTTAGGGCTGCTGGGGTTCGCTCCCTAGAAAATTGGCAAGGTCAATAGGTCATCCTTATGACCGTGCAAAAACTTTCTTTATTAAAATATTAATGTACGCATTATTATTATTGCGTATGTAAACAAGGCTTAAGCCAGTCACTGGAAAATTAAAAGGCGACTGTGGGGCCCCATGTTTTAAATGTGTTGGCATTCCTAGATAGAACCACAGTTGACAGAAGAACAGATGGGCTTTAGATGACATAGATGTTGCACAGAAGCAATCTTCACACTTGAACAGTTCATTGAGAAGTACATGAGTATTATAACAGTTTATTTGTAGCATGTATAAGCCAAGAGAAGGCATTCAACAGAATCAACAGACATTATTATGGAAGATAATAGAGTAGGCAAAAACACAAGTTCATATCGGGAATCTAGAAACGTATTTAGAACAATTCATGGAACATCGAAACTATTCACAGCAACATTTGGAGTAAAACAGGAGTGCATCTTGTTAGCACTTCTGTGCATTACCTACAGCGACCAAAAAAACACAGAATTAATGTCTACAAGAAAAAAAAATCAAGACTTTAATATAGCACTGAGGCGGGTGGGGGGTTGGGGGGGGGGGGAGAGAAGGGTGGGAGAACACAGGTATTACACATCCATCTGAATTTAAACATCTGGGAACAACATTAATCAAAGATGGCAAGTTGAATACAACTTAGTCGAGGTTTTAACTTCACTTCAATCAGGTCACCCCATACTTGTCCCACTCCTGTGCCAGGGTAAATCAAATGAAATTACCCTGACTGTGCTATTTGAAAATCTGGTTAACAAACAATTTGTCCCTGCACAATCTAGAGATATGCGCACGCAGTAAATGCATATAGCAGTTGCTAGAGGCACCAAAGCCAACAGTCACCGCTGAAAATGCAGTTTGTCTTCAAGTTTCTCGGCATGCTACTGTGATCACGACATGTGTGCAGCTGTTTCTCCAGTATGCTGTTGAGATTACTACATGAGATACTACAATCACGACACATGTGTTTCTCCAGTATGCTTTTGATGTCACTAAAATTACGACATATGTGTGTAACGGTTTCTGCAGTATGCTCTTGAGGTCACTACAATCAAGACATATGTGTGCAGCTGTTTCTCAAGCTTGAGGTCTCTTGAGGTCACTGCAGTCATGACACCGGTGTACAGCTGGTTGTCCAGTATGCTTTTGAGGTCACTACAATCACAACATCGGTGTGCAGCTGTTTCTCAAGCATGCTGTTGAGATTACTACATGAGAATACTGCAGTCACGATATAGGTGTACAGCTGGATCTCCTGTGTTCTCTTGAAATCACTACAACCATGACATTAGTGTACAGCTGGTTCTCTAGTGTGTTCTTGAGATCACTATAATCAGCTATGACATGTCTGTGCAGCTACATCTCTAGTAAGTCAGAAGCAACAGTAACCGTTTCCACGTGCTTTAGAATAAAGAAGGCAAGTTAGGAACGGTCATCGCAGCACTCTGGGCATTAAAGTCAACGCATTGTCACCATCATCAGCAGCCATGAAACTGTTCTAATATCTGTGGTGCGTTTTTTAATATGATTGTATTTTTTTCTGCCTGTTTTCTGTTTAATAGGTGTTCAAATCATTTAATTGTGCACTATATTTTTGTTACTAGGATAATCTGCTATGTCTTCCAAGCTGTTCATGTACTTCCAAAAATCCTTTACAACATCTGCATTTGAATGTATCAACTCACAGCCCAGTGGTGTAGAACCAGTTCTATTTGCTTATTAATTTCCCAATACACTGAATGCCTTGTAGCAATCTTCTAATGGACGCAGAATACTTCCACCTCCAAAATGAGGCCTCTCATTCTGCATGCAACATGTATGTCTTCACCTTTATTAGAATGCTTAGTCAACGCTTTTCTGTGAAGAACTGAAGAGACAGCAATAAAACCTTCGGTCTCTGCATACTTCGGCTCTGCATTGTAAAAAGGCTAGACAGTGAGTATAACCTTTAACAACTGGAAACATTATTGTACAGAACAAAGCAATCTTACCAGATGTATTGTATGATGACCGAAGACTTGAACAGACCCCAGCCCTTGTATATGTGGATGTACGTGTAGTTTGTAGTTTTCTCTGACATTTTTACAGCCTCCGCTACAGCCTGGAATTATTATTATTAGAGCTTTTTGTTTTAACTTCATAAATTAAATTGTTTCTCGAAATTTAGAACTTAAAAAGCAAACAGAGGATTGTGAATTAATAGTTGTAATTTTCTAAAATTATTCTGAATCTGTGCCACCTCGGCAAGTTTCTTTTGACTTCGATATTTAAGGATTCTAATTCTTCCGCCCATGGGTAGATTACCTGCCTAAGTTTATAGAACTTGCGGGCCTCATCATTGTGTATGTCAGGTTTTGTTTTCGTGGCAGCCGGCATGATGTAGGGTCTAAACGCTAGCCTCAGACCTGGAGGTTATAAGTTCACATCGGCATTTAGCAGGATGTTTTCTAAAATTAACCTCCAGGTCGACCCAGGCTAAATAGGGTATAACTTAAATTACATTGAAAGCAAATGTATGTATGTGTTTTAACCCCACCAGGACCATACAACGAGCGACAAACACCTGGTGACACAAAGTGCCACCTTTCGGATGAGGATAACCCGGGCACATGTTCCAGAAACCCCGTTCAATCGTAGGTTATATTAGGGTGGGGCGTTATGATAACAAAAAATTGCGTCCCACTTTAGGACAGTTGTATTGAAAGTAAAGCCGGTCGGCGTGTTGTCGACCACATCATACACCGAGTGCCGATTGGTCTATAATAGGAATAAACTCACAGGGAGCAAGTACAGCAGGGATCTACCAGTCATCAGTAGAAATTATCCTCGTCGACACGCGTTTCGGCCCACGATTCCTAGACGCATTCGGAGGTGGGCCCTCCTGAGTTCATGAAGCTCAGGGCTGGTTCCCCGCTGCACGGAATTACCGGATGGTGTTATTCTTTCGGCCAGAGACAAGACGACTTGGTGGTTTCGCAGAAGGTACTGTGAGATAAGAAGTCGCCACGGCAGCCCAATTAAAGCAGTCAGCATGCCTGGACGACCGAGCGACAAGCTTACTTTGGTTTACCGGACACATGTTGGACTTTTATTAGCAGTTGGCAGAGGAACACTGGCAGACAATTCGGACACGATGGACTTTCAAAGGGGTGAGAAACCCTTTTCCACTAGACACCCGGACCAGCTCACCGAGGCCCGTCCCCTACGTTGTTGCGTTGCGTCCAAAGCCAGCTAGAGGCCCTTTCGGCTGCCTCTCCCAGTTTTTTGAGTGTTCGTTATATCTACAGCGTAAAAGTAAACGACTCTTCTCTCACGCCTTTAGGCGTATTGGGCATGCAGGGCTAGACCAATATTTTTATAGATCAATCGGCACTTGGTGGGTGATGTGGTCAGCATCACGCCGGCAGCCTTTACTTCCTGGACTGCACCTTTATCCACTCAAGGCGAGGTCCACCTGGGAGTCAATGTCATTAAAAAAAATCGAACCCACAACCTTCCGATTCACAGGCGGGCGTCTAGCCGCCAACGCCACGGCGCAATATGCGTAATTGCGTGGGAAAGGGTCTTTAATCGTTGTTGCCCTAATCAGTGTTCTAACATAAACTTCCACAAACAAGTGACTTTTAGCAGTATGGTTTGTACTTTATCTTCCAAGGTTTATGAGCTTCAACAGCTCATGTGCAAATCCCCTCCCCCCCCCCCCCCCCACTACATTAATTAGTGGTTGCCCCACGACCAGCTCCAGCAGACGGGCGCTGCTGCTGACGTCACCGGGTCGGTCTAACGAGCACACGCTCACGGCACCCCAGGGTGCCTCAGAACCCAGTTTGATAACAACTCCGTTGACGCATCGTTAGCCCGACCAGGGGACATCAGCAGACCGGCCCTTTACCTGGAGCCGGTCGAGGCTGCCCTGTGTGTGCACCCGAGATATTTGAGATAGGTTACGAGATGAGGCTCAACGTTTCGGCCCATCCTGGAGTATGTGGCTGTGTCACTTCTCCGGGCACCGTCCTTCTTTCAATGCCATTTATCCTTGAACAACAAAGAACACACAGCATTGGCTGGTGAGTCTTTAGCTGAACTATAGACAGGATGCTAAGTGGCACAGGTGGCTCTATTGTAGATTGAATGGTTAGGAGAAGCATGTGGTTTGTGTTTAGTTCAGCTAAAAGAAGAATAATTCCTCACTTAAACCAGACATAGGTATTTATTATTAATCACAACAGACAATCTCATAGCATTAACAATCAATTACATGTTGAAATTAAAGTGTCTTGTTTTCCTAACAACCATAATAAAACGTTTTTAATTATCTACACGCATATTATTGTATAATTTAGTTTTATGTCAGTCTAATTAAATGTCAGAGCCTCTCATAGTACCAGGTTTTAAACAAATCGGACTCCATTTGATTAGGGAGCCGTCCAGGTCCAAGTATAGCTGCCATGGTTAAACGGGGCTGAACTAGATTTCGTGCCAGCTCCCATTCATATGGTGCCAGTTACCACGGCATGTACTACGATGTGGGGGACGTTAGGGCGTGGCTTGCTTCAGCGTATGTACACACCGTGTCTAAAAGAAGCTGCTGCAGGTTTGTTTTCGCAACTGTTTGCTGTGAACGGTAGGTCTCAGGTACTGAAGGCACCTGCGTACGAGGAAGAAGTCCTGCTTCGTGAGTATCGAATCATTGATGTTTTGTATTATCACGCTCGTTGGCAGTGGCTGTCGTCGCTGGTGGATGTGTTTAAAATGGTCAAAGCGAGGAACGCATGACACCCCTACACTATAGGAGTGTCCAGGTAAATCCCCTGCGACATCACGCAGGCGACGAGATGAGATGACTTTTGTGATTTGCACCAACGGGGCTTCAGTAATTGTTTTTACCTGAATGTTTCTCATCTCTGCAGAGCGCAATCCTGGAGGAAACTGTTATCCTGAGGGGAAAGAACTGCATAAGCCTTTCCCGATTGGCACTTGGTCTTTAATGTTGATCATTCCATGGTCTAACTTAGCTCAATACGATTCGCTTTCTGCTGCATTGACTGGCAATGATCCCTAAGATCAACAGTCTGGATCACTCATACTATAACGCATTAATAAGCCCGGCTCTCTAGCGTAGTTGGCTAAACCGGATTACGCGGTGACCGGGTGACGAACTCCTTGTGGTCCGGGTTCACTCCCAGGGGTAGGCAGAAAAGCCACATTTTTTTGCCAGATTTACGGTATTTACAATGGAATCAAGGCCGAAAGGTTGCGATATCCATAATACTGAGCTTAAGGGTTAACAACTCATGGCTTCTGGATACTAAAACAAACAAAAACATTAATAACGGGCGGGGAGAACCCAAAAAGGAAACCTGGCTGCCCCTGTTTGGTTGAATACCTGACTGAAACTTCGGGTCGTTAGGATTCCGACCGGCGTTATGGAGACCGCTTCGGTCCCCCCCCCCTTCCCCCCCCCCCCCCAAAAAAAAGTAATAATAATGATGATTCCACATTTATTTATCAAATGCATACTTTCAGTTTATTTTACTATGTAGATCTGAGGAAAAATATTGACATCTTAAAAGATCTGAACATCAAGGAAGATTGGCTAATAAACAGCATACTTTCTCGGAAGCTGAAATATTTTGGTCATATCAAGCGCTACAACGGATTGGAAAAAACTATAGCAGAAGGCATGGTACCAGGAAGGAGGGGCAGGGACCGACCGATACTAAGATGGGCACAGGATATAAGTGACTCCTTGAGTATGAAAGTATATGAGGCAGGAGAACTGGCGAGAGACCGAGTTTCTTTCAGGCAGACTGTGATGAGAGCGACGTTCTGCAAAGGACCTGCTACATGATGATGACGATGAGATCTGACGTGTATATAATTGTATTACACACTTTAATCACTTCTAAACTGTCCTTGGGTACTTCCTGTTTGTTCCAACGTGCTATCCACTCCACGACCTGTTGTGCCTCATCTACTCGACCTTTGACCGTCAGCCATCGCAGACTTTCGGGTAGGAAGCTGAAGATGTAACAAAAGTAAACAATTTATATGTTGTCAAAATACTATTTTTTCATTAATATGCTGACTGTCCGTGACTAACACACGTATATCAAGATTGGCTAATAACTGCTAAGAACTGTCTTTCATCAGCTGTTTAAACAGTTTAAACAAAAATACAAGATGAAGTGATGCTGTGTTCAAGTACAATAACCCCGTTCCCCATGTTCTTCCCCTTTTTTACACACACACACACACACACACACTCTCTCTCTCTCTCTCTCTCTCTCTCTCTCTCTTGCCCCCCCCCCTTTTTTTTAAATGTTCCCTTTCTTAACAGCTCGTCCTGTTCCTGTTCTATTCCAGGATCTAGAGCGTTTATTTTGGATTATGTTTAATGCTGCTTTATTCGTTAAAAAAAGCCTTTTGTCGAAACGTGCTTTTCCTTTCTTTCTTCAAGCTTCTAGCTGTAGTATATTTTGTATTAATTTACTTTATTATATCAGTTTGTCCCCCACCCCCCCCCCCCCACCCCCAATCCCGCCCCCTCTCCCCCACCTCCCCCATTGTGGACATCATGACGAAAGGAAAGTAATACATCACAAATGAAAACACAATCAACTTACAAATAAGGCAGCAACAGTGGAGTGATCATGACACCACACATCCAGTACAGCGTAGACCAGTGTGGCAATCTCCAGGCGGCAAGAGCCATCAAGCAGACGCCAATATTGAAGCTGGGTAAGATGGATGCAATTGTCCGACTGGATAGCAAGACAAACTCTGTCGTGTATGGGACAGCAGCGGCTAGGTAGCCACCCAGTGATGTTCCAATGAGGAATCTAAAAGTGGGAATTTTTTACTGTTAAAGCTTATCTCTTCAAATAGTATTTCCACATTTATAAATTATTTCCACATTTATAAACTCTGTCCACATTTATAAACTATTTCCCCATTTATAAACTATTTCCACATTCCTAAAATATTTCCACATTTATAAACTATTTCCACATTTATAACCTCTTTCCACATTTATAAACTCTTTCCACATTCATAACCTCTTTCCACATTTATAAACTATTTCCACATTTATAAACTATTTCCATATTTATAAACTATTTCCACATTTATAAACTATTTCCACATTTTTAACTCTTTCCACATTTATAAACCATTTCCACATTTATAAACTATTTTCACGTTTATAAACTATTTCCACGTTTATAAACTATTTCCACATTTATAAACTATTTCCACATTTATAAACTATTTCCACATTTTTAACTCTTTCCACATTTATAAACCATTTCCACATTTATAAACTATTTTCACGTTTATAAACTATTTCCACGTTTATAAACTATTTCCACATTTATAAACTATTTCCACATTTATAAACTCTTTCCACGTGTATAACCTCTTTCCACATTTATAAACTATTTCCACATTTTTAACTCTTTCCACATTTATAACCTCTTTCCACATTTATAAACCATTTCCACATTTATAAACTATTTCCACGTTTATAAACTATTTCCACATTTATAAACTATTTCCACATTTATGAACTCTTTCCACGTGTATAACCTCTTTCCACATTTATAAACTATTTCCACATTTATAAACTATTTCCACATTTATAAACTATTTTCACGTTTATAAACTATTTCCACATTAATAAACTATTTTCACAATTATAAACTATTTCCACATTTATGAACTATTTCCACATTTATGATCTATTCCCACATTTATAAACTATTTCCACGTTTATAAACTATTTCCACATTAATAAACTATTTTCACAATTATAAACTATTTCCACATTTATGAACTATTTCCACATTTATGAACTATTTCCACATTTATGATCTATTTCCACATTTATAAACTATTTCCACGTTTATAAACTATTTCCACGTTTATAAACTATTTCCACATTTATAAACTATTTTCACAATTATAAACTATTTCCACATTTATGATCTATTTCCACATTTATAAACTATTTCCACGTTTATAAACTATTTCCACGTTTATAAACTATTTCCACATTTATAAACTATTTCCACATTTATAAACTATAACTATTTTCACAATTATAAACTATTTCCACATTTATGATCTATTTCCACATTTATAAACTATTTCCACGTTTATAAACTATTTCCACGTTTATAAACTATTTCCACATTTATAAACTATTTCCACATTTATAAACTATTTCCACATTTATAAACTATTTCCACATTTATAAACTATTTCCACATTTATAAACTATTTCCACATTTATGAACTATTTCCACATTTATGAACTATTTCCACATTTATAAACATAGTGAAAGTAAAGCCTCTCAAAGCCAGCCCCACACCCACATCGTGAAAGGTGGTAAACAGGACAAAGTAGGGGTTGCTTGGACTGGGCCATGAATGGTGTGGCCCTGAGCCAGCGGGCCGCTATGGTAGCCGTAACAACCATCCTGTGTCACCCTGAAACGTCCTGACCAATGGGGCTCTGGTGAAGTTTCGACAGTTCTAGCATGTCGGCAATGAATTTCTTATCGCTACTGAAAACAGAGTGGGATATAAATGGACAGTTTAAGCGACATTCGACAATGGAATAGTTTGCACACTTAGAGAGAATGCTTTGTGGCGCCATACCAGTTAAGCCATACATGAAAAGACGTAAAAGCACGTAGAACAAGGTAGACCAAGAACAGTATGGAAAGATAACATGAGAGAAACTCTACAACAGCACAATGAGTCTATGATCGAGGCGACCAGAAGAGCAAGAGGCAGAAGTTTGTATCTCCCTCGACACCTGGTAAAACAGGAAGTGAAGAAGGAAAACTGATGCACACGCAACACTCAGGTTCTGGAGCAGGACTGCAGTTCACTAATGGACGAGCAGCCAGAACTTTCCGCCAGAGTGTACAGCTGGTGAACGCAAAGAAGAAGAAGAAGATATTTTCTCCAGAGGATACAGGTGTGTTGGGAACTGAACAGGCAGACAGATTAGTAGGGTCTGCACCACTGTTTGGTGACTTGATGCATGAAAAACAAGAAATGGTCAAAGTCATCTACGAGAAATAAGGGCAGGCGAAAAGATCATTACAGCTAAGAAAGAATGTTGCAGCGTGGAGAGACCAGGGGATGTTTCCAAAGCTCTACATTCAGGGAAATCGCAAGACGGACATGTAATCGAACTGCTACTGTTACCATTAGAGTTATAACTCTTCGCCGGCTTCTGAAGATGTGACGCGTATCAGATTGCTCCAAGTAGTGTAATAAACTCATCTCAACTCAGAGAGATAGAGACAGAGAGAGAGAGAGAGAGAGATAAAGAGAGAGTCTCAACTCAGAGAGAGAGATAGACAGACAGACAAAGAGAAAGAGAGAGGGTGAATGGGGAGCGACAGACCTATAGACCATGGGATAGACAGGCAGACAGAGAGAAAAAGAGAGAAATAGAAAAACATACATTTTTTTTTTCTTGTGAGTCTGGGAAAAGGAAAAAAACAACAACTGACGGGAGACCAAGAAGAATGAGGCACCAGTAAGTATTATAATTATAACCTCTCTACTACAAAAGTGACAGAGATCTGTTGAAAGGCACCAACGCCTATGGGGTCTCATAAGGCAATTGATGATAACAACGAATAGAAAGTTTGACGAAAAGATTACCGTTATGAAAAAGTGATGGAATGCCTGAGATAGAAAGAGGACAGCGAGTACGTACGGCAAAAGTAACTTCTCATTTCTTAGTTAATGACAGTTTAAAGCAAACATTTTGCATGAGTTTAGGAACTTGTCAGAGCTCATTCTCAATCATTCACTGATGAGTTCTTACAACAAACGAATATTTTATCTACTGAGCTGCATGAAAACAAACAGTCATACTGATATAATTAAGGGTATGCTATACATACACACGAATACACACGCAATCACACACGCGGGCACACACATTAGCACACAGGCACACAAAGATCTGTATTCGTGTCCAGGTAAATTGTATTGACTCTGGTATCACGACTGCTCCACAACCTTCTGGCACGCGCAGTCAATCATTTCTGATACCATTGCCCAGTTAGGGCAGAGTTAGTGACTGTCTGCTCTGAACCGATGAGCTTTTGGCTTATTATTCTTTACGGCTGTTGAATCATTTTAAAAAGTTAAGTCATCAGATGTTTACTCTTGGATTTCGTATTTCAGGCAGTACATGTCGTGTTTCTATCTGGACATCTTGCTAACCGGGACATCATAAATAGGCACAAAAGTCAGTTACGTACATTCAACGCAAAGCGGTCATTGGCTATATCGCCACAGCTGGACTCGAACTTGGTGTTTCACAGTTACAAACAATGTTTGCAACCTCTAAGCCTCATGTGCGGTTCACTTTCAGTGACTCAATAATTAAAATAGTTAATAATAAATGATGACCAGCGTGAGTGTTGAGAACATGTAATGTATTGCACAAAATATAACCGACTACAAGCAAGTCTGTGGACAAACCATCCTTGAATCTACAATTTCTTAATGTTCTTCGAGAAGTAAGACGTTTGTAAGAACCAAGTGATGACTGTGAATCTGCAACCATGAACAGACTGCAAGAACAACATGTTAGAAGGGTTGTGGCCAGATAAGAGCACTATGTAGGAAGCCACAAAAGAATAAGAAACCTATACAGAACTGTAGGGCACTACTGCCCTAGAGCAAGAGGCAGACCGAGAGTACGATGGATAGACAATATATCAGAGATCCTGAGGCAACACGGACTAACAACAACACGTGCAACACACCTGGCCCAGGATAGAAAACTGCGACTTCCCACTACGCTGTGAGGCAATTGTGGACAAGACAAGACAGAACTGTGTCGTAAGCCGCTGTCCGCTGAGGGATTAACTAAGTAGGGGATCCGAGAACTTATGGACTGAGTGGTTCGATGTGCAGAAAGGATAATCTGCCGACATTCTAATTAACTAGCAATCAAGTCGTATATTTCGAACACAGAACAAGACTCTCAATTGTCAGACAGTGAACAGTAAATTCTAAAAGCGTACTTACATTGCACTGACAAATATTTCCCACGACGTGGAGAAGGCAGCCAAAAAACAAAACACGGCAGTGGTAGCCGTGAAGAAGTATAAGGTTTTCTTTCGGCCAAGCAGATCCGACATCTGCCCTGCCAGCAAGCCGCCCACGAGCAGTCCAGCCATCTGTATGGATGTCGTTATAGGAACCATCCATTTTCTCTCACATACCAAGTCCCACTGTTGATAAATGTATGTCCTCTATGACAACGCAATGTATATCACAACATAGCAAGATCTGTTGAAAGTAAGCCTCACCTAATCACATGGCAGGTGTTACAATCTTTAGGAGAAAATGTCCTTATGCTTTTCTTATAAAGGTGAGCTTCTGATACTAATTGAAACGGGTTCGGTTGACTCATATTTAGTTCATTTGCTTTCAGCAGATGCCTTTTTTTTTTTTTATTATGAGGTTTTACAGCTAACTTTTTTTCCACACTAGCCTTCTTTCGTTTATAAAAGTATCCACTGTGTCCTCCACAATGGTCTTCCCTTTCTTCCCAATATCGTTTCGCCTATTTCACTATAAGAGTCTTGCATGTTTTCCAAAAATAATCTTCATCATCAGTCATCAGTTCTCGTTATGCCTAGTGGCACATGCGGCTTCAGAGAGGACTTTCCATGCTTTCCTGTCCTGAGCAATCTTCAATGCAGTTTTCCATGTCAAAGATGCCACACTCAGGTCACTTTCCATTGTTCGTCTCCATGTTGTTTTTGGGCGCCCCTTTTTTCTCTTTCCCTCTGGTATCCATGTGAGAGCTGTTTTGGCAGGTATATAAGGATTCATTCTCATAACGTGGCCAAGCCATTTCCATCTTCTCTTGGTTATCATACTGTCTAGAGTTTCTTGGTTTGTGACTTGAAGTAATTTAGTGTTTGAGATTGTATCTGGCCAGAAAAATTTTGATAATTCTACGTAGACATGTGTGCTGGAAGATGGACAGCTTGTGTACATCCTTTTTGGTCATTCTCCAGCATTCTGCTCCATAAAAAAGAACTGGCAAAATGATGCTCTTGTAGAGTCTGAGTTTTGTTCCTCTGCAGTAACTGTTGGATTTCCAGATTTGCCTCATCATTCCAAAAGCAGCTCTAGCTTTGTTCAGGCGTGACTGTATGTCTTCCTCTGTCCCTCCCAGTAGATATGTGAAATGTTCTACATTTTCAAGTGATTGGCTACTTATGGTCACTGGTTGTTGGTTTGGACTGTTTGTCATGATCTTAGTTTTCTTTGCATTTAATTTCAGTCCCACAATTTCTGCTGTGCTGTGTAGTCTGTTACTTTTTCTCTTGTACATGTTCATGTTTATGTGATAGGAGTGCTATATCATCTGCAAAATCAAGGTCCTCAAGCATGGTG